GGCTCATAGGGGATGGGGGCCAAGCCGGAGGGCCAGGGCGGGGGGCCCGGGCGCTCGCTGGGAGGGCCCAGGCCAGGGGGCGGCGGCGGGGGCGCCGGTGCCGGAGGCGCCTGGGCTACAGCTCGGCCCCCCGCCGGCCCGCCCGCCGTCGCCGCCCCCGCCTTCAGCGGCACGAAGAGCTTCTTCCAGATGTTGAAGTCGCTGAGCGGCGACGAGGAGATGCCCCGGTCGTAGAGAGACGGGAAGTAGAGAGGCGGGGCCGGCCGCTGGCTCATGGTGGGGCTCAGGCTGCCGCGCCGCCCCTTCGGCATCGTTTGAATGAGAGGCTGCGTGGGAGGAACCCCGCGCCGGGAGACGCGCGCCCTGGCCCCGAGTCGCCGGGATTCGCAGGTTCCACAGGCCCCGCCCCGAGGAGCGCGGCCCCGCCCTGTCGCCTCGGCCCCGCCCCCAAAGGCGGGGTTCCAGGGCCCGGGCCACGCCCCTCGTGAGCGCCCCGCCCAACCGGCCACGCCCCTCTCGGAGAGGGATCGGCCCGCAGTGGGGGGAGGGGCGGGGGTCCCGCCGGTTGCGCACCCTTTATAAAGCGTGGCTCAGGCTCTTGGGTTCGGCACATGGTGCGGGAGCGCCTAGCATCCTCCCTTCTACTTCATCCGCCTCCCCCGCCACCCAGGACCTCGACCGCCCTGAAACCCACAGGCCTCCCTCCAGGGTATCCCGAAGGGGGACGCTGGGAACGGACCAGAACTGCAAAACAAGAAAATGTCCTCACTCTTCTTCTTCTGTTCCTCGGATGGAAACGTTAAAGAATTCTCGGAAACCCATTCCCTGCTCAAGCCCATTTCCTGACCCCGCACTTGCTGTTCCTGCCTGGGAAAATGGGTGTGTGATTAAACGCTCCTGGAGAAGAGAGTTGGCTGGGGAAGGCTGTTCGAGGCAACAACATTCAGAGTGCGGCAAAATTCAGAGTTGCCGAAGGTTCTGAGGGGGAAGAAAATAAAAGGGCCCTGGTATGAATTTGTAATTGATCTGATGTAGATCATCACTTTAGATATGTTCCAAATGCGGGCCTATGAGGGACTCTCAGGAAATCACCAAAGGCAATATTGCAGAGGCCACTTCCGATAATTCATTCTTGCGTGGAGGGTTTTTGTTTTGTTGGGTGTCTTCCGATCAGCGATTAAAGGATAGGTGGGGCATTTTATTCTGTGGAACTGCCTTGCTGTGAGACAGTTAGACTCCCTGAGAGTCTGTCAGGCAGTGCTGGGGCAAGGGAGGGAGACACATTTAGGGATCCAGCTCATCCATTTTGTTTTGTTTTGTTTTTAGTTCACATTTTGCAGTGCTTAGGCCTTGTTCCTAGCTCAGTGTTCAGGGACCACTCCTGAAGTGGCTTGCAGGACTACATGTGGTACCTAGGATTGAACCCTGGTCTGCCAAGTGCAAGGTAAGTACTTAAATCACTGTACTATTTTTCCAACCTTTTCCCATCTATTATTTTGTGTGTGTGGGGGGGCCACCTGGCGATGCTCAGGGTTTGCTTGTGGCTCTGCAACTCAGAAATTACTCCCGGTGATGCTGAGGGAACGGTAGGAGGTGCCCTATTGAATCCTGGTTGGCCATGTGCAAAGCAAGAGCCTTACCTGCTATACGATCTCTCTGGTCCATGCCCACCCATTCCTTTTGGGTGACTGGACCTATGCTGCAAGGGGCATGCCCAGTTCATTTACATAATGAACATGTGGCAGTTAGAGACTGAAAATTTGTCTTAACCTCGCTTTAGCAAAAGTATAAAGGCCAGGATAAGCTGTTGACCAGACATGATACATATGAACATGCATACACAAATATTTTACATGTACAGGATACATACTAAATAAAGGGGTCCATGTGCATATGTGTGCTGTGTATGCACATATTTGTGGAGAGAGTTAGATTTCCAAACTGGGTAGGTTTGGGAGAGCTGCTTGGCTTCTGAATCAGTTTTCTGTAAGACAAAGAGATCCAGACCGCCATACAGTTGTTCTGATGACAGACAACAGAATAATGCTTGTGAAGCACTTGGATTCTGTCCCCCTGTGAGGGGTAGCTGTGCCCACTAAGGGGCTTGTCTGAAGCTTCTTCTTTCCAAACATCTTGAGGGCAAGGATACAACCCAAGGACCCTAAAAGGCTGAGCATATGGTAGGATTCGGTAAATATAGGAAACCTTTAGAAGTGTTTATGACATGGGAATTGAAGAGGATCAGAACATATCACCCCCAATCAACTGCTTTGGCCCAGTGGTTGTTTTCAGTAGGAAGGAACGAGGAATCATCAGACACAGGAGGGCTTGGTCCTCCCACTATCAGGACCAAGATCAGGGCCTACATTTCACTTTGGAAAGATGATTTTTCATTGGAGAACATGTTGACCTCCCCTCTCCTTACCAGGAAGGGACATAATCTCAGCCCTGGAGATGGTACCAAGTTTTTCATGGCGCAGCTTATTACACGGCGCCCACCTTCCCACAGTGCCTCCCTATATTTGCTCCCTACATGGACAATGCCAAGCAGCCCAAACCTCTTTTCCTTTGTCTTGTTTCTCAGAATTTACCGCCCTTTATTGAAATGGCTTAGATGCTCAAGTCTAACCTCTTCATTTTTTAAAAAAAAATAAGAATAGGTTATTTTATTCTAAAAGGATGGGGCTGGAGTGATAGCACAGCGGGTAGGGTGTTTGCCTTGCACGCGGCCGACCCAGGCTTGATTCCCAGCATCCCATATGGTCCCCTGAGCACTGCTAGGGATAATTCCTGAGTGCAGAGCCAGGAGTGCATCACCTGTGCATCACTGGGTGTGACCCAAAAAGCAATAAATAAATAAAGGAAAAGAGGCAACAGTAGATATGGGGAGATTGGTGTCGAATTTTTTTTTAATCTTCTAGGCATTGGGTTGTATATTTATTTATTAAAAATTTTTTATTTCATAAGGTAGTTCACAATATTTGATCACATCCAATATTCAAACACCAATCCCACCAACTTAGCCTCTTCTTAATTTCATTTCTTATCTGTGAAGTCCCTATGTTTATGCCTTATTAATATGTTCTATTAATCTGCCTGTTCCCACTTTATTTATAATACCCAAGTACTGAACCTATTAGGAAAGCTGTCCCACTTTTCAGAAGCATAGCTGTTAAGAGCTGAAGTTTTAGACCGGGACCTGGATTTACCCTCTGGATCTGCTATACACTTTCAGTCACTGTCTGTCACTGTCCTCCTGTTGTTCATCGATTTGCTCGAGCAGGCCCAGTAACATCTCCACTGTGACAATTGTTACTGTGTTTGGCATATCGAATACCTCACGGGTAGCTTGCCAGGCTCTGCCGTGCAGGCAAGATACTCTCGGTAGCTTGCTGGGCTCTCTGAGAGGGGCGGAGGAATCGAACTCGGGTCAGCCATGTTGGCTGCGTGCAAGGCAAACGCCCTACCCGCTGTGCTAACATTTTTTTTTCCAGTGAATTGTAACAGTAATGGTACTTACTCATTATGGGGGGACAATCTAACTTCTTTTGGAGGGGTGTTGTTTTGTTTTGTGGGGGAACTGTACCCCTCAATGCTCAGGGCTTACTCCTGACTCTGAGCTCAGGGATCACTCCTGGCAGGCTCTGGGAACCGTAAGTGAATTGCTAGGGATGGAATCCAGGTTAGCTGCATGTAAGACAAGTGACCTACCCACTGTACTATCACTTCGGCCCCCAATCTAAGTTCTTACCCATGCATAGTACATGATCTGCAAATGTTAGCTTTTATTATTAAAGAGCCTGAGTTAGGGAAAGAAATTTTCCATTATGTTTATATTTTTATTTTATAGAAAACATTTCGTGGGTTTTTTTTGGGGGGGGTACATATCTGACAGTTCTGAGGGCTATTCCCAACTCAATGCTCAGGAACATCTCCTGGTCCTGCTTAGGAAATCATGCCATATGAGAAACTGAATTTGGACTTCCTGCATGCAAAGCTCATGCTTATGCCTCCCAAGGCTCCAGCTCTCTATTTCTATATGTCCAAAGAAGAAGAATTTATAGGTTTCCCCTTTAAGATAATTAGATTATATCCCGGGTAGCCTAATTTTAACACAATTGTATAGTTAAGAGCAATAGTTACCATAACGAAGAGAACCTAAGACAAATCTGAAGATAAACCCCTCCACTTGTAGATGACTGCACATGAGATACTAACAATCATGGTGGGTGGGAGTAGTGACTGGGTTATTTCTGCAAATAAATAGGTCTATAGATAAGGGAAATAATATCTTGCAGAGGAGCTAGAGCTAACTTGCATCTTAAACTCCTTCTCTGGGTTCAAGGTCCTGTGCCATCCCACTGGGGCTTGAGGAGTTAACTGCTAATGCCCTCGCTCCCTATTTGCATTTGCAACCCAGCGAGAGAGACACATATGAGCCCTGCTTAGCTCATAAAGATTAGGTGAGGAACCTGGTTTCGCGTTTAATAGCCAGAGGTTTCTTTACTCAGCACGGACATGCTATTTCTCTTCCAATCCCAGGGTTTGATCAACTTCTTCCTGCAGTCTGGGGAGGAGTGGGGTGTAATTAGCAATGGTCAGTTATGCCTTCTTACCACAGTTGTCTCAGGGATGTTTGGTTGCAAAAAATATATGAACAAGATTACGGTCTTGATGTACAGTTTTTTATGCCACATCAGAGGTACTCAGGGATCACCCCTTGAGGGTGCTCAGGGCACGATCTGGGATGTCAGGGGTCAAATCTGGGTCAGCTGCATACATGACAAGCACCCAACTTGATGTAATATCTCCCTAGTCCCTGTCATATAGTTATTGCACCTCACCACCACCAAAGTGCTCCCAGACCTTCCGCCACTGTCCTTAAGTTACTTCTCATCTGCCAGCCTCCATTTGTCTCAGGAAAGAAAATTGCCCCAATCTCTTGTGCATTAAGCAGGGTGCAGATTTTGATGTTCTGTGGGTCAATAACCATACTCATCTATTTGATTAGATTTTATTTTCAGAAAAGGATCATTCGTTCCCATTTGTCTAATAGAGTACATAATCAAGTATTTTTCAAAACATTAATCAAGAAATTCCACCATCTGCAAAGATCAGTCTACGATGTTAAATACAACTTAGATGATAAGAACAGAAACGTCATTAACTCTACCAGATCTTGAGAATTAATCACCAGCACCCACAAGAAAAAGGAGAAATTCTTCTTGAAAAGGTGTCTCACTTTATAAAACACTGATAGGGTTTCCAAAATCTCAGGCATATGTGATTATGCAGTGATTATGCAATGAACTTTGCAGGTTTTTTTTTTTTTAATATAATCTGTACCAAGTCAACTAGAAATCACCACGCTGAATGTCAGCTTGTCAAACACATCCCTGTTGATGCTCATAATCCATTGGGAAGTCCAGATTCAGCCCCAAAGACTCTTCTCATTGCACTAATACAGAAGACACACATGTGGGTAAGAGTCTTCATACCCACATTAAAACCAAAAACTTTAAAATAAGCACACTCTCAATACTGTGAGTCACATGTAACATAGAATGTTGAAATGCTCAGTCTTGAACCACATGTGACAAAGTCAAGATTTCCCAGCATTCCGACACAAAAAAGATTTTTCCTTTTAGCCTTTTTCTTTCTTTTTTTTTTTTTTTTTTTAGCTAAAGACAGCCAAGACCATAGAATATTGAGAAATCTAGGAAAGCTTAGGTTTTAATCACTGCTACCTCTCTGAAGCAGACCTTATATTTCCATGTCCTGTCATCTGTAAGCTTATTTCCTTCCTCACAGGGCACCCTTTGAAAAATATTCATTCCAATAACTCTGCAGTATGAATTTACTTTTAACAATAAACATTTATTTTCGGTTTTGGGGTCACATCCAGCAGTGCTCAGGGCTTACTTATGGCTCTGCGCTCAAGAAATCACTCCTGGTGGTTCTCAGGGGACCATATGCAGTGCCAGGGATCAAAGTAGAGTCAGTAACATGCAAGGCCAAGTGCCTTAAACCCCTGTTCTTAGCAACCACCCCCGCCCCCCAGCACCAATTTCATAGCTTCTGACTGACAGCCACATCTGTAATATTTGCCATGCCTATACACTAATATACATACATAGTGTATTATGTATGTATAATACAGGGACCTAAAGGGACCTAAAGGGAAGTAACTGAGAAATGCAGAGAATCTGCTCTGCAAGGGGTCAGTGCAAGGCAGACCCTACAAAGTACATGGAAGAAGCATACAACCTCGTTTAAATCACATATGCCTCCCCCGAAATTCTTCCTTCAAATGGGGCTTCTCTACCAAAAAGGACTGGTCATCTGAATCTCTTGTCCAATTCCTTCTACGTGCTTTACTCTTTTTTTTTTTCCTACAGGACTGAACTGGAAAAACAGGAAGCTTCAGGAAGGCAGCAGCAAAGGATATAAGGCATATACAGAAATGGGAGTTTCTGAGCAGCCCTCTTGGAGTTGATTCAGAAACACACGTTCCAGGCTGCAGCCAGAAGTGGGACCACCAGCAGAGCCGTCTTTCCCGACATGATGGGCGCGTCATCTCTGTTACACAAGTCTTCCTCGCAGCAGCGGTACTTCAGCTGACTTTCCCCCAGGAGTCTTGAAATATCTGCATAGTTGCATTCCCTTCTTTTCCAACACTGAAAATATCTGTTCTGCCCCGCCGCTGAAACACACGTGCGAGGGTAGGTAAGCCAGTGGTTAGTGTTCCTGACCCAAGTTTGAGCCAGTGGTTAATGTTCTGATCCAACTCTGAACCCTCAATTATGCTTCGTAGGGCCTCATTTGTGAAAGTAGAGACTTTGGGGCAAGAATGTCACCCTGATTGCATTTGTAAAGAGGGGGCGAGGATAATTAAGTAAAAGATGATACAGTTTGACTGGAATTTTCCATAAGATTTAAAATTTTACCCGAGCCGAGCCTGAATAGTGTAAGTATGTGGGCGAAAATGGGCAGTTGTACTGCTTTTAGGAATTTGCCAAGATTTGAAAACACGTGCTCCTTTTTGTTCAGCAAGCCCACTCCTAGAAATTATTCATAAAAAAGGTTAAAGGTCACTGGGACGAAACAACAGAGTCTGTTAAAAATATCGCTTCAATAAAATTTTAGTAGGAAGAAAAGACACCATGAAATTCCATGGAAATAAAAAAAAATGGAAAGGGACAAGCATATATGTGTTTATGTGGAAAGAGCTTAGTTCTTTGTTTTTTGTTTTTTTTTTGGGGGGGGGGAGGGCAGTTGCTGGCAATTGAACTGAGACTCTCACACATGTGAAGTCTGTACTCTAGGGCTGAGCCTCATCTCTGGCTCAACTGCTTTTTAAAATTCAGTAAAATAGTTTTTAATTAAAATTCAAAATTGTTTTGGTTCAAAGAATATAAAAAATATGAAGTTGGTGCCATAAATGTTGAGCTATTACTTGTCGATTACAAGGTAAATTGGAGTGGTGCAAGTACTCCCCCAGGCTCTCATAATCCCATCATATTTGGGAGGGAAGGGATAGACACTTACCAGCCTCCACAGACAAACACGCATCAAAATTACCGCTACAGTTCTCGACATTAAAACAGCGTTGAACATTTTTATTGCATTGGTAGCACCTCAGGCTGTGACCTAGAATCAGGAAGAAAACCCGACAGTAAGTGCTAGACCAGCCTGGACCTGCCCTCCTGGAAAATGAGGAAAGACTCCCTGCCCCTCGCTATGGGACAGAGGTCAGCAACTCACAGCCAATTTCCCTTCCCACACCAATCTGCACTTTCCAGCCAAACTAAAGCCATAGTCAATATTTTGGACTTGATGCAAAAATAACAAGAGAATAAATGAACAGGATTCTATAAAAATCTCCCAAGTGATGAATATACTCTAATTTTATTCACAAGGACTGGTAATTATTGCATGGCCCTACCTATATGAAAAGACATTTCTCCAAATATGAAATACATAACATTTCATTGTGATTCCCATTAAGAGATGAATACTTGCAACCAATCAGAAGATTGGGAAGATTAACTTTTGAAGCCCAATTAAGTAAAATTCTTGGGGAGATAATTCCATTCTTCTCCTTAGTACCTATGTCTTATAAATCATTGTACTCAGTAATACATTTTATTTTTATTTTTTTGGTTTGGTGCCACACCCATCAATGCTTGGGGCTTACTTCTTGCTTTACACTCAGAGATCAGTCCTGCCAGGTATATGGGGTGTTGGATATCGAACTGGGGGTGGCTACATGCAAGGCAAGCACCCTACACTCTCAACTTTGGCCTCCAATACATTTTAAACTTTGAAAATTCTGAAAATTCTCAAAAGTGTATTTTCTTGTTACTTATACTGAAGTCTACGTAACAGCCTCAATTTGGTCTCTTGGTTTGCAAAGTGAAAAATATCAACTCTCTGACCTTTAGCAGACAATTGGAGGAACGTTGGAATAGGAATTCTCTTTGAAGCTGTTCTCTACTAAGGAAGTTACCCTTTGGCAGAAGCATTTCCAGCCAAAGGATGGCTAGCAACTACACACCCTTACCCCATGCTCTGGCAATAACATTGAATACTAGACTCAACTTCTATTAGAAGCAAATGGCCTCCAGTTTCCTAACATTAAAAAACATCACTGCTCTCGTTTAAGTGTGTAGGATTCCATATTGAAGTCATCAATGGATGACTACATGTAACAGCTATGCTCTATATACTACGGAGTACTACCTTACCATTAAAAATGGTGACATTGTTCCCTTTGGGACAAAATGGATGGGACTTAAGGTAAAAAAGTAAAAAATAAACATTGTTATATACGTTTTAAAAAGATAAGGATTGGAACAATAACAGAGTTAGTTGGCAGGGTGCTTACTTTGCATGAGGCTGACCCTGGATCAATACCTGGCACCACATATGATATAGTTCCCTGAGAATGCCAGGAGTGATTCCGGAGTGAGGAATAAGCCCTGAGCACTGCTTGGTGTGGCCCAAAAACCAAACACAGAGAGAGAGAGACAGAGAGACAGAGAGAGACAGAGACAGAGACAGAGAGACAGAGACAGAGAGACAGAGAGAATGAATCATTGTATGATTACAATCATGTGAAATTTAAATTCTTTTTTTTTCCCCTTTATTTTATTTTATTTTTTTTAAAGTTGTAGATTTACAATTTTTTTTTCTTTGGTTTCAATCATACAATGATCAGATACCCATCCCTCCACCAGTGCCCATCTTCCACCACCATGGATAATATCCCTCCCACCCCCATCCCCCCATCCCCCCTGTCTCTGTGGCAGGGCAATCCCCTGTGTTCTCTCTCTCCTTTTGGGTGTTGTGGTCTGCAAAAGAGGCATTGAGTGGCAAACATGTTCAGTCCATAGTCTACTTTCAACATGCATCTCCCCTCCTGGGAGGGGAGTGCTTCTTGGGTCACACCCGGCGATGCCCAGGGGTTACTCCTGGCTCATGCACTCAGGAATTGCTCCTGGCGGTGCTCAGGGGACCATATGGGGTGCTGGGAATCGAACCTGTGTCGGCCATGTTGGCTGCATGCAAGGCAAACGCCCTACCCACTGTGCTATCGCTCCAGCCCCGAAATTTGAATTCTTAAGACAAAAAACAACAAAGCTAAACCCTAGACTCCCTGAAAAGTACAGTGGATATTGGAGGAAAGGGAAGTGGATTGAGGGGAATGAGGAGAGGCTCCTTTTTGGGACAGGAATGTGGCAACTATATATCCACTGAAATTCTAAAATTTCTATAAACCAGTGACATGCAACAAAAAAAAAAAAACAATGATAAGTAAATTAAAGGTAAAAGTTTTTAAGATTCATCATTTCCAGCTATATTTTAGGTTTGGCAGGATCATTTTCCTTTCATCATTTTTGTAGCAATGGTAACAACAAGATTAGTCATATTTTACATTTCCCATGGGCAGAGGCGGAAAACTAAGATTGGGGAGAAAACATTGCTCAGCCCATTCTTTTTCATAATCAGAAATTACTTTTTTCCTGACACCCAGCATCAGCCATGGAATCATTATTTGGCAATATTTACTGTTATGAAAAGATGTTTTCAAAGGTGAAATATGTAAAATCTCATAGCAAATATCATGGCTACACTAAGACCACGTTTTGATCTTAGGACTCAAATCGGACTTCTAGTTCTCAGCCTAAATTTGGGATGTGTGACTAGGGAGAGGGGATTTTCCAGGAGGCCAGAAAGAAAGTGGCTCCTTATTTTATGAGCAGCGATTAATGTCACACTTTTGCTATAGATGACCACAGCTGTCATCATAGGTATGTGTAGGATAACACTCTTTTGTCCTTCCTTAGGTAGCTTAGGTTTGTCAGGTCACACCCATCTAAGGACACTGAACTTGTATTGTAAGCAATGTCCTTTCTGTGTGGACACAGGAAGACAGTTAATATTATGCTTTGTAACTTGGGAGTTGATTGACTCCGAATAATATTTACTCCTGGGCACCTGATTTCTTGACTCAGTTGCCCTTAGTTCCTACCACCCCAAAAGCAGGATCGTGACGAGGGACTGAATGGACCCAGGGCAAGCGGTGAGCTACCCTGGCATCGAAATGGGCCAGGCCAAAGAGCCACGATACTCAACTATAAGCTGAGGGCATGATCATGGACAAATGCTGTCATGATCCAAAAGTAAGTAACGACGAGACTAGGACCCTGCTGGAGCTAGGAAGATTAACTTGGCCTGAGGACTGCGGAATGTATAATGAGATGTTCTCAGGAAGAACCAAACTAAATTTATATCTCTTACTGTGCTCATACAGAATGACATTGCTAGAAATACTAGAAGTAGATTTATTACAACTATTTAAGTAGATTACTAACTGAGGGAAGAACACACCCTTGTTGGGATCTCACCCTTGAGCGGATCTCCTAGTAATCTGAAGTAATCTCTGTAGATGAGATTTTATCCTTGAGTTAATCTCCTGGAGGAGTGGTCTTACCTCTCTTTGTTGATTCGTCAGTATTCAACCCACCTTTATGTCACCGCCTCATGTGACTGCTATATAAACTAAGACGTAAGCTCGGAGAGGGGAGTCAGAAGCGAGAGAGCTTGGGCTTCAGAGATCCAGAGTCAGAGCCAGAAGGAGAGAGGTTCCAAGATTGGGGCCCAGGAGAGAAGGAGGCAGAGAAAGACAGGAGTGAAAAGGATTGGAATAAACTACTATTGATATAGACTGGCCTGGCCCTCGTTTCTTCTTCTGTCTGCCCTTGGCCAACAGCCATTCCAACCCAGGCCACACACAGCGGCTCAAGAGCACCGAACGCAGGCTGTGAGACAGTGCCATCCAGTGAGCCCGTGAACACACAACCTTCGGCGTAATAAGATTTTACAGGTGTGTAATCACAGCCTAACAATACCCTATGATTTGGGAGGACCCTAGATTAATTCCTTGACACGTCCAAATAGTCCTCCTTCACCATTCTGTCTGCTGATGACAAGATAGATGCTCAAGAGGTGGAGTGACCACAGAGGACATCCAAACTACAAAGAGCTGGAGTCAGTCTTGGGGCTGGGGCAGCACCCTGGTCACCCATGCGACCTCTTCCCTCCCAGTGTCGCTGTGTGCGAGGGGGTCCACAGTGAGGAAGGAACAAGATGCCATATTTCTCCCCTGCTCCTGATGTCTGCACTTATGTATGAGAGAGAGGATGCAGATCTCGTCTGGACGTCTGTGAGGTTATTTGAGAAGGATGCACAGGAGAAAGGGTTTTCTTCTGGAAAGGCCAGAGTTCATCTAACTCCTTTGGCAAACGTTTTAATAGCGGAATCAAAGTTCATTTTGGGAACATCTGAGCAGATGGCTAACAGGCTCATTCAGTGTTCAGACATCTGTGCACCTTGCAGCCTATCCCCAGTCCTCACAAAACCCTTTTAAGAGACAGACTCAATAATGTACCCATTTTATGTTCCAACAATTAAGCCAGGGAAGAAGTGATTACATTTTATGTAAAATAGGGGGAGTCAAGAGGAAAATTCCCCTACAGTAGGTTCCTCAGAGTCTGGGCAATAGTAAAAAAAAAGGCTGTGTGTGTGTGTGTGTGTGTGTGTGTGTGTGTGTGCATGCACACACACGCATGCACATGCTTGCATGCACACATTTTTCACATCCTGATTATCTGAGGAAGGATAACCCAGACCCCCTTACCTACCAAAACCAAAGGTTGCTCAATTATCAAAGGCAGAAGCCAGGAATCTGGGCATGGCCAGACTGTTCCTGTCACAGAACATAACTAGGGCAGGAGCACTGAGACAACAATGTGACTTCCTAAGCGAAGCTCCAACCTCAGAGCAGAGGAAGTGGTGTCCCAGCCTCATTCTCAACAGAAAGAACATAGTCAAACTTGTCCTTGGGTTCATTGTATTTCCTTTCTTTTCCTTTTTTTTTTCTTTTTTGCTTTTTGGGTTACACCTGGTGAGGTACAGGGGTTACTCCTGGCTCTGCACTCAGGAATTACTCCTGGAAGTGCACAGGGGACCATATGGGATGCTGGTAACTGAACCCGGGTCGGCTGCTTGCAAGGAAAACGCCCTACTTGCTGTGCTATTGCTCCAGCCCCTGTATTTCCTTTCTAACATTTCTCACCATTACACACACACACACACACACACACACACACACACACACACACCCTGGTAGAAGCAACATGAAGACAAAAAAAAAACTAGATTCTTATGATAAAGAAAAGCACTGAAAACAGATGTCCCTACAGTTCCAGGAGAGAACGAAACCCAAGCCACGTGCAGGGGCTGGAGAGGGGACTGACAATAACACTCTACTGTCATGTTGTCTGGGTTTAAATTCCAGCTGGACATCCACTGGATGATCATTTACAGTGTATGTGATCTTTAGGGCCTCTGTCTTGTCATCTGCTAATACTGATAAAAATTACGTGTATTCCAGGGCTGGAGCAATAGCATAGTGGGTAGGGTGTTTGCCTTGCAGCTGACCCGGGTTCAATTTCCAGCATCCCATATGGTCCCCTGAGCACTGCCAGGAATGATTCCTGAGTGCAGAGCCAGGAGTGACCTGTAGGGTAACATTGCTTTGTCCTTCTTCCACAAGAAGCTTAGGTTTATCTGGTTACACCCATCAATCTGGTTACACCCATCACAGTGCTCCAAGGCACTTCCACTTCCATTGTGTTTATCTGTAAACAGTCTTCCCTATGCTCTCCTTCCCACCCAGTTAATCAGCTTTCCCCTTAATCAGACTGTTTATTTGTAAGCTCAGTTTCCCAGAAATCTATGCTTTTATATGTATAAGTGAAATACTGCCTTTCTCCTCTCCTTATGCCTTATGAACAGTTTACTTTAAAGTAATATCCTTTTTGTATAGATACAGGAAGACCGTTAACATTATGCTTTGTAACCTAGGATTTAATTGGCTTTGAATATTATTCACTCCCAGGCATCTGCTTTCTCGACTTAAGCCTCAGTTGCCCTTAGTTCCTAACACCCCAAAAGCAGGGTCCCGATGAGGGACTGAATGGACCCAGGGCAAGCGGTGAGCTACCCTGGCATCGAAATGGGCCAGGCCAAAGTGCCATGATTCTTAACTCTAAGTTAAGAGTTTGATCATAGACAAATGCTGTCATGATCCAAAGGTAACGACGAAACTAGGATCCTGCTAGGTGTGGGAAAGACTATCTGGCTTGAGCACTGTAGTCTGAGATCGAGATGGCCCTAGGAGAGCAATTCTATAAGTTTAAGATATTTCTTACTGTATCCATACAAAATTATTTATATTATATATGCTTATATGCTTGTCCGACAAGGAAAGGAGAGGCACACCCATGGGATTCTGCTCTAGGGTGGGTCCTCCTGCTGAGAAAGGATCTGTCCTAGGAGCGGCCTTCCCTGAGACTAAGATTTCTACCCCTATTGATTGTGACCGCACCTATGTGTAATTGTTCCCCCAATTCCTCATGGAGAGGGGATTTAACTGTACTGTAGGAGAAGGGGCAGGAGGGATCAGAAGGAAGAAGCAGAGGATCAGAAGGAACAGAAGGAGGATGAAGGGGGATGGAGAAGGAGAATGAAGTAGCATGGGGGAGGAAGAAGAGGGGAGCAGAGACAGAAGCAGAGACAGACAAGAGAGACTGGTGTAGATGGAGAGAGGAATGAAATAAACTGCTACTAATACCAACCAGCCTGGCCCTCGTTTCCTTCCTCCGCCTGACCATCACCATCGACCTCCCCAGGTGGGAGAAGGGTGAGACTACCGAACGCGGGCGGCGGGAGAGATAGAGCCACCGCCACTGTGTGCCGTGCCCCCCTCTTGTGAGTTTACACAGTGACCCCTGAGCATCGCCAGGTGTGACCCAAAAGCAAAAAAAAAATTACACATACTCCATACATTTGCCATACGGATTATACAAGTACAGACACGTGGCATGACTTGTGCTTGTGGTGTCACAAACGTGCTACAGATGATAAAGAGGGCCACACAAGGAGAGGACTGAGCTCAGCAGCATAGAGATGCACACACTGGTGGCCCAAACAGGTCCTGGTGAGAGAGTTAACTTGATGATGATGATGATGATGATGATGATGATGATGATAATTTTGGTTTTTGAGCCTCACCAAATTCTGCTCAGGGCTTACTTCTGGCTCCATGCACAGAGGACCATAGGAGATGTTGGGGATTGAATTCAGGTCAGCTGTGTGCAAGGCACATGCCCTACCCACTGTACTATCTCTCCTGCCTTAAGAGAGGGGTTAACTTTAAACAGCTGGTTGCACTCATACCATAACCTGTCCTCACGCTCATAGAAAGCATTTGCAATAGAATGGGCTGTAACTAAGAACACTGCTCCACTGAGCCGAGACTGTAACTCAGGAAGCTGGCACTCAACTGCAGACCTGTAATACCAGAAGGGAAAGAACCAAATTCAGCCTCAGGTCACAGATGTCAATCTTCTGAGTCTTCTGTTTGTTTTGGGGCCACACTGGGCAGTGCTCAGGGCTCAAGGATTATTCCTGGGGTGCCAGAGATCAAACTTAGGTCATCTGTGTGCAAGGCAAGCACCCAGCTCACTGTACTACTGCTCCAACCCAATCTTCACAAGTCTTAAGAAAAAAGGGCTGTCGAGAACAGACAACTGGTTAAAGAAACTTTGGTACATCTACACAATGGAATATTATGAAGCTGTTAGGAAAGATGAAGTCATGAAATTTGCTTATAAGTGGATGGTCATGGAGAGTATCATGCTAAGTGAAATGAGTCAAAAAGAGAGGGACAGACATAGAATGACTGCACTCACTTGTAAAATATAAAATAACAAAATATGAGACTGACACCCAAGGACAGTAGACACAAGGACCAGGAATATTGCTCCATGGTTGGTATCCTGCCTTGTAAACTGGGGGAAGAAGACAGCTGGAATAGAGAAGGGATCACAAAGTTAGTGATAGTTGGAGGGATCATTCGGGATGGGAGACGTGTGCTGGAAGTAGATAAAGAACCAAACGTATCAGTATCCCAGTATGTGTATGGCAAACCATAATACCCAAAAGTAGAGAGAGAGTATGGGGGAAACTGAGGCAGAGGGCGAACTGGGGTATGGGGACCGATACTGGTGACATTGGTGGTGGAAAATGTGCACTGGTGGAGGGATGGGTGCTCGGTCATTGTATGACTGAAACTCAAACAATGAAAGCTTTGTAACTGTATCTCATGGTGATTCAATAAAAAAATTGTTTTAAATTTTTAAAAAGGGGGCTGGAGCAATAGTACAGTATGTAGGGTGTTTGCCTTGCATGAGGCTGACCCGGGTTCGATTCTTAGCATCCCATATGGTCCCCCGAGGACTGCCTGAGTGCAGAGGTAGGAGTAACCCCTGTGCATTGCTGGGTGGGACCCAAAAAGAAAAAATTTTAAAAAAAGGCTCAAGGCTGAGGGAACCCAGATGACCCAGAATTGAGTCCCTCCAGTCCACTCACCTGAACGGCAGAGTAGAGCCAGGATGAGCAGGAGTCCAAGAAGGGTAAATCCTCCTTTACTTCCCATGGCAGCTGTTTATAGGATCTGGAAGGAAGGGACACAGAGGTCATGAATCAACAAATGACAACCAGTGACTTGAAACCAGGAGCTGGAAGGTCTGGGGGCTTAGGACACATGAGGTGCTATAAACCCAGCGGTGCTCTCAGGTTGGGGCACCCTTTCCTTTGCTCAGTGTACTCAAAACGCTCCAGGTTCAGGTGGGAGAAGTAGCTGAGGGGAGCCAAAACCCTGTGCCCCCTCCCAAGAGACAAACTGCCACCGTCCATTATGCTGGCCCTTCTGGGTGTGTCACTGCCCACAGAATGCCTCCCTGGTGAGGACTGAGACAGTCGAGAGAAGAGGTTGGTAGTTCAGATCCTGGGGAGGCAAAGCCCAGAACATGAGATCTGGCTTGGCCAGGGTAACGGAGCTCTATTTCCCATCTTTCCTACAAGGTTTTAGGTGCCTACAGGGTTTTAGGTGCCACCCAACACTGGAGAGTCAGATGAGAGAACAGCTTGAGAGTAGCATGAGCCTTTAAGAATACAAGAGACTATTGCCTGCCATACAGGCAGGCTGGGGAAGGCTGGGGGATGGAGGGTGGGGGTGGTAGAGGTAGGAAAACTTGAGACACCGGTGGTGGGACCTGTACACTGGTGAAGGGATGGGTATTGGAGCATCCTATGACTGAAACCCAATCATGAACAACTTTGTAACTGTGTATCTCATGGTGATTCAATAATTTTTTTTCAAAAAATAAAGATTGTGACATTATAAGTTATACAAATACTCGATTAAAACTATTACCCACCCCTCACAAAAAAAAAAAAAAAGAATACGAGACCAGTCTCTCCAGCTTCTGAGTCTCCCTAAATATTGATCTATCTAGTCAAAGAAACTTGACGACACACACACAGATTTAGTGGCATAACATATCAACCTAAGCAATTTACAGGTGGATTCTTTACTGCCGTGAAGAAGAGTCAGCTGGTACCTACCCCGTGTGATCTTCGTTCCCATCACTGATGAGCCCACTGTGAGCTGGTGCCCCCAGGTGGAGGGACACACAGGGATAAGCTCCCCTACCCTTTGCAACCTGGAGAAGTCCCAGTCACTGCTGGAGGCTCAGCCTTACCCCAGCCCTGAGGATAAATCAGTCTATAGAATTCAGGGTTTTATGAAAACTACCTCGAGTCCCACTGGTTTAGAATTGACTGCACTTCTTTTTTATTTAATTTTTAAAATTTTTAAATTATTTTTTAAATTTTATTGAATCACCGTGAGATAGTTACAAGCTTTCATGTTTGAGTTACAATCACACAATGATCAAACACCCATCCCTCCACCAGTGCACATTCCCCATCACCAATATCCCCGATATACCCCACCTTGTTGTTACCGTGTCTGGCATATTGAATACGTCTCCGTAGCGTGCTGGGCTCTCCGAGAGGGGCGGAGGAATCGAACTCGGATCAGCCATATTGGCTGATTGCAAGGCAAATGCCTTACCCACTGTGCTATTGCTCCAGCCCAGCGATAGCACAGCAGTAGGGCGTTTGCTTTCCATGCAGCCAACTTGGCCGACCTGAGTTCAATTCCCCGCCCCCCCCACACACACACACCGTCTCCATGGCAGATAATTTACCCCATACTCTCTCTCTACTTTTGGGCATTGTTTTGCTATATAGCTACTGAGAGGCCATCATGTTTTGTCCTTTATCTACTTTCTGCACACATCTCCCATCTCGACCGATTCCTCCAACCATCATTTTCTCAGTGATCCCTTCTCTATTCCAGCTGCCTTCTCGCCTTTGCTCATGAGGCAGGCTTCCAGCTATGGAGCAATCTACCTATCCCGTGTATCTACTATCCTTAGGTGTCAGCCTCATGTTATGTTGTTTTATATTCCACAAATGAGTTGACTGCACTTCTTACACTAAACACTCATGAAATCACAAGAACCAATCGTGTCTTTCAGGGGAGAGGAGCACTTGAGGCAAAGTGAGATTGCTACAAAAGAGAAAAAGCAAACTGATTCCTTCTATCTTGAGGGAAAAAACGTGAAAATATAAGACAGTTGGATGTTAAAGTCACCATCTTGCCTGATGTGATGACAAAATAAGATAAAAAAAAAAAACACCTCAAAATCAGAAATGTCTATTTCCTTTCGGAGCACACACCTGGCAGTGATCAGGGATTATTCCTGGCAGTGCTCAGGGGACTGAACCCAGATCAGCTGCAGGGGTTTGGAAATACTCTAACATTAGAATTATTCAAATGCCCTTTAAGCTCATTCAAATTGTCAAACACATGTTGGGAGCATCTCTGCCCAAATGTTGCAGAAGAAGCTACAGTTGTGATGAAAGCAGAGGGCCTCTTCTCCTAAGGCCCCACGAGATCACTCTGGTTCAGTGTCACCAAATTCCAGCTCTCGGGCAAGTCTTTGTTTCTGTGTCACTTCCACTGAGCAAGCAAATTCTGAGTGCGTGTGGGAGGGGTGGTGTGTTACCATATTCACCCTCACACAATGCTGTGAGGTTAATGTAATGTCTGGCTCCATTGACGAGAAGAGGAGACTGAAGAGGGAGCTAATTTATATGCTCACAGTAGGAAGAAGTCCCCCCTCCTGCAAAGAGACCCCAATCTGGAGCCCGTGAATCTAGACAGTTTTGCTGTGAAGAGACTTTATAGGAGAGATGAAGGTTATAGAGATTATTCTGGATTATCAGGGGGAGGGAGGACAGTGTAAGTCCATCCTGAAGACGAGGTCAGGTGAGGTATATAAACAGCAGAGGAAAGAGCTTTGAGGAGAGAGCTGCTCTCGCCCACAGTGGCTGAAGATGGCACTATTTGAAGTCAGAGGAATGGGGTCACAGAGAAGTGTCCAGGTGACCATAGAAGCCAAGAAAGTCCTCACCGAACACAGCCCCAATCACAGAACAGAAATCTGCCAATGACCTGGATGGGGAGAGGCAGAGCCTTCCACAGAGCCTCTAGAAAGGACCCCAGCCTGCCAGTACCGTGATTTGAACCTGGACAGAACCATATCTAACTTCCGGCACACAACTAAAACATGAATAAATCTGTGTGATGCTCAGCTACTAAAGTTGGGTGATTTTTTTTCTCCTCCACAGCAAGAAAAACAAATATATCAGAACTGATAGACAGTAGAGGAACATTTAAACCTCACTCTGAGCTCTTAACACTAGCTGGACTCTGGTAGGAAGACTGCTTGTGAATTCAGCTTCTCAACAACTCATGCTGGGATCAGCCGGGAGGAGAGTGTTCACGGAGAACATTCCCCCCACATTGCCAAATGCGTATTGAGTACAGCTGGTTCGGAGAACCTGAGGACTTAAACGCTGATAAATTTGATGACTCAAAATAAAACTAAGGTCTCACTCTTAAAAATAAAAAAAAGAAAGCAGCAGCTTAGCAGTAGCAGAGCCACACTGGGTATTTCTTTTTCATTTTTTTGGTTTTTTGCTTCCACTCATAACAGTTTGTACCTACAAGTGTCCTGACATTACCCAGTCAGGGGCCCAGGGCCTGTGTCTTTGCAGCCTTATCTCTATGACACATGCAGTCTGTGTTTTAGCCAAGTAAGCTGAGATAGCTAGTTGCTCACGTTCAGTCTATAGTCTACTCTCAGCACTCATCTCCCATCCTGGGAGGATCCTCCCAGCACCCTTTATTTGGTCCTCCCTTCTCTATCTGAGCTGCCTTTTCCCCTAGCGTGAGTGGTTCGTCTCCAAGCCATGGAGTAAACCTCCTGATACTTATCTCTGCTATTCTTGGGTGTTAGTCTCCTATTTTGTTACTTTACATTCCCCAGGATGAATGCAATGTTTCTATGTCTGTCCCTCTCTTTCTGACTCTTTTAGCTTAGCATGATACTTTCCATGTAGTACCACTTATATATAAGGAGAGAGAAAACAAAGGGGAATGCCCTGCCACAGAGGCAGGGTGGGATGGGGGGATGGGGGGTGGGAGGGAAACTGGGATCAGTGGTGGTGGAAAATGGGCACTGGTGGAGGGATGGGTATTCGATCATTGTATAACTGAAACCCAAGCACAAAAATTTGTAGATCTACAACTGTACCTCATGGTGTTTCACTAATAAAAATTAAAAATAAAATTTAAAAAAATAGAGAAAGCATAGATAAATCCAAAACAAACAATCAAACAAAAAGAACAGTTGCTCACTTCTGAGAAGACTTACATCAACGTCCATTATAATCAAACAGCCTCTCCCACCTCCCCTCTGGTCTTGTTGCCAGCGACAATTCTTGCTGCCCAGAACTCTATAAACTGCCCCAACTGCCAGCCTCCTCATGAGGGCTTCTTTACAACCAGGGCCAGTGAACATTACTACTTAATTTTAATTAAACCATAGCCTTGCCCCTGGTGGTTACACATGTGGGGCCAACTATTTAGTGGAGACGCCTTAAAAGGGAAAGGCGCACAGGCAGAAGTACATCGTCCCCCCCAGGAAGTCTCAAGCATGTTCTGTTTGGGGTGGTTTCACATCCTGGCCCAGAAGTTTCATGCCCTCCCATTTTAGAGTTGCACTGTCAAACGTGAATTCTATCACACGGCCACTCTCCTTCACTAAGATGCATTTTACTTGGATGTTCTCTTCTAAGCCATTCAGCATAGCGAATGTTTTCTTTTCAGCAAGGATCAGCAAGCAGGGGCAAGATCTCACTCTGAGAACATGGACATCATTAGCATCATGCATATTAGGGGTTGCCGCCCTGCAGACCCTGTGGGTCACAAGCTTCCACTCATGTTCCTGGAAATGCCTGTCACCTCCTCCCACGAACATTTTCTTCTTTGCTCTTTCCTTTGTTGCTGTTGTGAGGACTGGACCACATTTTATGCTTGACTGTGGAGCTCTCACACTTGGTTTTGGATGCACCAGGAGGGGCACACTATTATCACTGTGCTCTCACACATCCTAGTTGTGGAGATCTCTCTTAATTGTGGGGCTCACATATGTTATTCTGATATCCTGCCCATAGTGTCTGCACTTCTTTTTTCTTTTTTATTCCTGGCTCTGTACTCAGGGGTCATTCCTGATGGTGCTCAGAGGAGAATATGTGGTGCCAGGGGATCAAACCCAGGTTGGTTGCATGCAAGCAAGCACCCTAGCCGCTATACTATCTCTCTCATCCCTTTCTGCACTTCTCTAATTACTATGCTGGCCAGGGGTCACACTGACGTGCAGGGCTAACCCATCTAGCAGCACGACACTGAAGACTGAACAATCAGTTGTGCTGAGGGGCATGAGGGGGCTCCCAAATAGTTGCATCGCTGGAACTGTGCTCAGAACATGTGGGAGAAACCAGAAAATCAGACTCCAGCCTCTCAGAAGCAAGGCAGGTCCTTTGACCACCAAGTCAGCCAAAACCCCTGAACTAAATTCATTCTGAACTCTATTCCTACCGAGGCAAACTGAGACTGAGTGGCTCCCTCCTGCACAGTGGGGTTCACAAACAAAGGCTAGAGGGACCACGAAATATTAGCACCACCACTACTTCTCTAGAGGTACCACATGACCAACAACCCATCCTTCCAATGACCTCATTTGCCAACACCTTGGGAAGTTGGCCTGTAGCTTGTTATTACTGTTGCTTTTTTCTCTTTTGCTTTTTTTTTGGGGGGGGGGGCCACACCCGGTGATGCTCAGGGCTTACTTCTGGCGGTGCTCGGGGACCGTATGGGATGCCTGGGATCGAACCTGGGAATTTAAAGCCCAGGACCCGAACAGGGGACAATAGTGTGGGACCCGCTGCCTAGCCCTTGGTGAGTTCCCTGGGGTGGGGAGGCAGTACGAGGTCCCGGCTTCCTTCAAGAAAGTTAGAGAGGAATTCAAGGGCGCGGAGACGCAAGCAGGTGGGCACAGCAATAAGGACTCCGGGAACCTCTGTCTCCAAACCGGCGTTTATTTCTAGGGCTGAAGCTCCAGACAAAGCCGCCGCCGCCGCCTTCTTAGGCTCTCAGCGCGATTCGCTCACCACCAAACCCTCGGGACCGACCAGACCACACCCTAAATTCCAGCTCCCCAGAAGCCGGAAGCCACCCGCGCCCCGTAGCTCACCTTCATAAGCCGTGATGTGACTAACCGGCCTGCTCCGCGGCCCCGCTCTGTCCGGGGTCAGGGCCGAGCTGCGCAAGTGACCTTTTATAGACCGAGCGCGGACGGCCCCGCCTCCTTTATGGCCCCGCCTCCTTTGTGGCCACGCCCCTGCTCTGGCCCCACCCTGCTGCTGCCCGTAGCGCTGGTACTAAACGCGCCTCCCCCGAGCGCCTTGCTCCGAAGCGCAGGCACAAGAGTGTCCCGTGCCCACAGCGTTTCCAAAGCGTCTAGCGAGAACCGAAGAGAATGAAAATCCATGGCTTCTGTTTTTTCTCTTTTTTCTAAAAATAAGGTAAAATAAAATAAACAACAATAACGTTTCATGTTAAGTGTTGGGTGTCCACGCCCAACCCTCACTTGCCTCTGCTGTGGGATTAGGCAGCCCCTAGGCTCCTTTGTCCTCTCCTGCTCTCCCAGCCCCTCCTGTTCTTCATTCACAGCCATATTCGTGCCTTGAGACTGCTTGGAACGCAAATACAATCTGTTACGAGTTTAAAACCTGCATAAGATGGGTCTGAATCAGAATGTTTTATATATATATATGTGTGTGTGTGTGTGTGTGTGTGTATATATATATATATATATATATATATATATAGAGAGAGAGAGAGAGAGAGAGAGAGGACGTCATTGGAAACTTCCTTTTCTCACCTGAACTGTGTTTCAGTCCCTGCAGAAAGGTCTTTGGGGAGTACCCTAGGAAGATGCTCAAAGAAAACTACTTTCTTGGCGATACTGTCCTCTGCTGGACACAGCGAGCTAGTCTTTGATTCTCGGGTACAGAAGGTTTTTCATCTCAGGACAGGTTATGGCTGGAATGGGAAGGAAGAAACACAGGAGATAAAGTTCTAGTCTGGGCTATGTGCAGGCTGAATTCATGTGATAACTGACCTTGCCATATGCCTTCCACCAATATCCCTTGATAGCTTTCGGGTGGCAGAGAATGGTTTACATTTGATGATGCCCAAATCTTCCTTCTCTTCCATTCAAATCCCATGAGTGTGTTAGATCAGGACTTGCTTTGATACAGAAAGTTTGTCTGTTTAAAACACTCAAAACATTTATTTTGATGCATGATCTTTACTTGCATTATAAATCTTTTTTCTTATTAATCTGGCTATGCCCGTTTAAATTGCAGAAGTACTAAACCTAAAAGAATAAAGCTTCTGCCAATCCCAGACACATTTCAGTAGAGTTGTGGTATAACTTGGGGTTTTAAACTCAGACCTGAGTCTACTATAAACTTACCAGAATTTTATCTGTGTGATGCAAAGAGTAATAGTTTCTGTTTACTTTGGAGAACAATCTACGCTCTTGTCCATGGGGCATGTCAGTAAATTTTTGCTCTTGTTATTACTTGTTGAGGAGTCTCAGAAGGGAAAGAGATTTTTCATTATTTTCTAAAATAATGCAAGTATGCATATATGTTTTTTCCATTTATGAATCAAAAATTTTAAAAAAATACAGCTATCCCCCTTAACTTCAAAATATATAAACAGATTTTATAAAGAACTACTTAATTATAATGCGACTGTGAAGTTAAAAAGAGTTTGTTTCTTCTAACATCTTTAACAAGAAATTTTAGGTGCCATTATAAATAAAACCTAGATAAACCCCTTCATTTGTAGCAGATGTCCAGATGGAGTAATAAAACCATAGTGGGTAGGGTAACAACTACTGGATTATTTCACATATGTACATACATGTTTATATACATAATATATATTGGAAAACTCAAGTTAACTATAAGACAGAACTCTCTTGCATCTCATTTATTTTATTTTTTCTTGCATCTCATTTAAACATAAATTGAGAGAAAACTTAAAAAAGAGGCAGGGGGAGGGCTGGGATAGGGGGATACTGGGGATATTGGTGGTGGAAAATGTGCACTGGTGGAGGGATGGGTGTCCGATCATTGTATGACTGAAACTCAAACATGAAAACTTTGTAACTGTATCTCATGGTGATTCAATAAAAAAAAAACTTTCTGGGCAAAAAAAAAAAAGAGTAAAATTCAGGTTAATGATGATATGGAGCACCCTTGTATCTCATTTGAGCAGAATCTTTCCGGGCAAGAGGTTCAACATATTAAATTCAGGTTCAATCCCAACAATCGAAAAATTTGGTCCTCAAACTCCTCCAGGAGTGACTACCCAGTACTGAGTCAGGATTAACCCCGAGAACCTCCATGTGTGTCCCCCAAACTGAAAACAAACCAGAAAATGCCAGATATGTTCTGTCCCTGAGTTCAAGGCCTTTTCCACTTTCTTTCAACCCATGTTCCCCATTAAGTGCCTTCTCATAGACGCTTAAAGAATCGTTTCTTTTATTTTTAATTTATTTGTTTTGGGGCCATACCCAGTAATGCTCAGGGTTTCTCCTGGCTCTACACTCAGGAACCACAGTGTTTGGGGGACCATATGGGATTCTGGGGATTGAATCCTGGTAGGACCCATGCAAGGCAGACTCCCTACCTGCTGTACTATCACTCTGGCCCCAAGGGATCAATTTTTAACACCACTGCTCCATCCATGTTTGTATTTGCAACCAAGGGTGTGGGGGGGAAAGGAGCAGGGGGAGAGAGAGCAGGGTAGGTAAGGTACTTGCCTTGTACATGCCTGACCTGAGTTCAACCCCCTTCATCCCATATAGTCCCCCAAGCACCTTCAGGATAATCCCTGAGTGCAGAGACAGAATTAGCCCCCTCTAAAAAAATGACGACAATCACGACCATCCTGTTATTTGTCGATTGCCTTGAGCAGGGCCCAGTAACATCTCCTTTGTCCTAGCCCTGAGATTTTTTTAAAAAGTGCCATATTCAAGGCTCTTTCAGAGTTAGGAGAATGAGACCCAGCATTGTTACTGGTATTTGGCATATTGGGTACGCCACGGGGAGTTTGCCAGACTCTGCCGTGTGGGCAGGTTGCTTTCGGTAGCCTGTCAGTTTGTCCAAATAAAAAAATAAACTAAAAAATATAAATTAAAAAAAATTGGTGAATGTGACTTCAGGTACAGTAATCTAAGGGCTTATCAAAATACTAAATCTCTGACCCGAGGTCACCCACCCAGCACAAGGCCAGGTGGAAAAATAACAGCCTTGTCTTGCAGATAAAAGACCTCCCTGAGAGCACAGAGCCTGGTCCTTCCTCCAGAACCCCAGTGAGAACCATCATTTTTCCACTCTCAGGACCAGAGGGGCTAGGACGTTACTCCTACCAACTGTGGCACAGTGAAGTGAAAGTTCCTGGACATTCAGATGGAAAGTCTGGGTATCCTATTAGCCATTGCTAGAATTCCCCAGCCCTTGGGGCAGCTGGTGACCTGGTTTCCTCAGTCACCAGACTGCTGGAGTAGTACAGAAATCCTGTGGAAGAGTTCCCTCTCAGAGCACTGTACTCCTCCATCACTTTGGTTCTCCATCAAGCGAGAGCCAGCAATACCACCTCAACCAGGAAATTCCCTCTTTGGCACTGTGTCACAATTTGTAATAACTACCTGCCTTGGTTCTTGTTGACCACTCAGACATAGAGCACTTGTGGGCTGGAGCATAGCTGAGTTACTATGTAGTGAATGTTGTGTTCCTGACCCCAAATCCCTACACTCACACCCTCACTCCCAAAGAAATGCATTAAGAGGTGGGAGCCTTTGGTAGGTGAATAGAAGCCCCCAGAAGGGGATCAATGCCCTTATCAAAATGCAGAGAGCCTCTGGGGCCCCTTCCTCCAGCAGAGACACGGTGGGAATACTGCCCTCTGAGACGCACGGAGTGGATTCCCACCAGGCACCAAATTCTGGGATCTCCAAACTGAATTTCCACTCCCAGAGAAGCGAGAAAGTAGTAGCTGAGATTTCAGTCACTTAGAATACGGATTTTTTTTTCTTTCCTTTTTTTAAAAACTACAGCAGCCTGATAAGAAAAGTCACGCAGAATCTTGGACTCTTGCTTACTTCATCTTTGATCTGTAAAATGGAGCCAATATCTCCCTTGTGTGTGGATTTGCTCACAGCAGTTCCTGGGACTCACAGTGTAAGCGCTCAGGCGAATGTACAGTTGATCAGGCTTCCCTAGTCCACATAAGCTCCTGGTGAGATCAGGAGGGAATAGAGGTGACTGGCTCTGGGAATGTAAGAGTAAATGACAAGCGGCCACTGCATACCAGGCATTACTCGAAGCACCCTGCTTTCCAGTTGAGGGAACTGACACCTACGAGGTTAATAACTTCCTGAGGGTCAGTGGCTGGTGAGCATCCAAGCAGAGCTGCAGATGAGTTGGCTCCTGACTCAACCTCCTCACTCTCCCCGCAAAATTTCTCCAGTTTGCGGAGCAAGTCTACTTTTCTGGTCTGGGAGTTCCTGTTCTATTCCTGGTCAGAGGGACGACTCGAGTGGGAAGTTGTTTGTGCCACATTTCAAAGATGGAGAGATTCTGGGAAACTGGAAACAGTCTCTTCTTTGTGTTGAATTCCTATGAATTCCTCATTGTGTTGGTCTGGCCCCAGGGTGGGACCCAGGCGCCCCCCCCCCATCTTTGCAACACCCACTATTTCTAGAATGTCTCCAAAAATGCAGTTAGTAGTCCTTACAATTGTTTCTTCTGGTAAATGTGCTCCTCCGCACTTGCAGAATAAGCACATTTTTCAAAAATAAACTGAATCCTAAGAGACAGTTTGATAGTATGAAGAGTGAAGGACGTGGGGGATGCGAGAACTTTGTTTAGGTCCCATCCACAGACAGAAGCTCACTGTGTGCTCTGGGTTAATATCTCTGAAGTTCACACTTACTGACTACTTCCCCGTACATGTTCTCTTGTTATTCTGGCGGTCACACTTCCAGGATAAACTTGTGAGAAATTCCTATTCACAAATAGCAGGTGTTCCTATAGGGTGATGATACAGTGTGCTAAGAAAGAGTTCAATAAGGCACCACATGGAAACTGAAGAATAAAATCTAGGGACCGAGTACATGGCTCTTGGGGTAGAGCACATATTTTGTATGTGGGAGGCTTTGTGTTCCACAT